ATAATTGACGATACAACTTAGAATACACGGACTATAATGACATTACAACACTATATGTCTTTTAAAAGAAAATCAAAATAGATGTACTTAGGGAGAGAAGGATTGTGATGGTATTAAAATTAGAGTAGATATACCTCAGGGAAAGGGCACTCTTGAATGAAGAGGCATGCATCTTTTCAGGAAACAGTTGTGCCTGTGTATCCTTCTGCGTTGACCAAGGTTTGCTGCAACAAATGAAAAACAAAATTTGAATTATTAATGAGTAAAGCCGGACATACACTGTTAGAACTTTGGCTGATTCACAGGAATCGTCTCAAATTCTAACATTGGGTGGCCCTGCAGGCTCAACAACAGTTGATTATTTCAATCAGGTCAAAAATTGCTGGTTGAACACTGTGACTGCAGCTGATTAGGGGGTGAACAAAAGAAATCTATACAGTGTATGTCCAGTTTAAAGCTGAGTATACACTACATGATTATATAAAATATGACAGATTCCTACATTCTCACTAAACAGTGTGAATGAACGAATCTCCTGCTGTGTCCACCTGCAAGCACCATTCAACCGACAATTTTCCAATACGTTCCTTTGGCAAATGTGGATGTAATGATCGACTTCTCTCGAGGGGATAGGGTCACCAACTGCCCCTGGTTTGGAGGGACTGTCCCTCTTTTGGAACCAGATCGCTCTGCCCCTCTTTTCTCCTCAGTTGTCCCACTTTGTGGACTGATGTATAGATCTGTATAAAAATTAAATATTTAACTACCAAAAGTGTCACACTGCACTAAAACTTTCATCCAACCTCTGAATTATTGCATTTATAATTTGAAAAAGCCAATATAAAGGAAACGTAGTGGGGTTTAGCAGTTTAACAAATATTTTGTTTGCATCAGGGCCATCCCTATAATGAGGCAGCTTGAAGCTACTGCCTCAAGTGGCATCTCTTTGGGTCACATGGGGGGGCTTTAGGCAGAGCAGCATGGTTGCTGCTGCACAATATTTGCAGTGTGTCTGCAGCCCCCTTTCTGGCCATAGCCTCCCATGTTGCTAAGAATCGGGCAGGGAGATGTGTAAGGGCCATAGACATCTCCCTGCCCAGCTCTCAGCAACCTGGGACGTTCTTTCCAGTGTCCCACCAAGCTCCTGGCAACCAGTGACCGCATTGCTGGTTAGAACGTTGCAGGTTGCAAAGGGATGGGCGGGGAGATGAGAAGCCCTTACACATCTCCCCCCCTGCTCCTAGCTCTTAACAGCATTACTGTCCACCAGCACCCCAACCCCCTCCCACTGATTGCGTACACCAACAGCACCTCCCGCCTCAGGTGGCACAGATACAAGGGACACCCCTGTTTTGCATGCTAATTTTTGGGGGTCTGTGTTAAAGGAGGGGGGTATATCAGTGCCTATATATGGTACACTCTTTCCCATCTCAGAAAGTTGGGAGGAAGAATTGGGCCTCAAGTATAATACTGGAGGACTGAAAGTAGAAATATTGACCATACTAAACATTTAAATTTTTCCTTCCTTTTCACTAATGCAGAGTACTAAGGGAAAAAGCAACAACCTAGTTGGTAAATTATGGCCATAACCTTTCATTTCTGTTCTCTGTTATATATATACAGAATGTGACTTCCTTCCCCCTGTTGTTTTAACTATATGCAGAATGCAAGGGTCCTGTTAAAGCGCTGTTGTAGAATGGATGGATATCAAATATTTAAAAATGTACTCTTAAAGGTAACATTGAGCAGGCCACACACAATGCAATCTGTTTGTTCAATTTATGCACGACTGTGTAATCCAAGGTCCCACCTATACAATCTATTCAGTTTGTATCAGAAGGACTTTTGCACATTTAGTCGTTGGTGAATCTTCACAACGTGTGTGTGTTTAGTAGATCTAACAGGATCATTGATTGATAGAGGATAGGAATATCTATTGGTACCTTTAAACTGAACAGACACTTTATTTATTTATTACAGGTACTCATGTAGCACTGGTAATTTACACAGCCCTTTATATACTGCACATTCACATCAGTCGCTGCCCTCAAGGAACTTACAATCTAAGTTCCCTATCTCACATGCATACATACAGGGCCAATTTATCTACCAGCTTATCTTTGGAGTGTGGGAGGATACCCACACAAGGACAGGGAGGACATGGAAACTCCTTGCAGATAGTGTCCTGACCAGGATTCAAACTGGGGATACCCAGTGCTGCAAGGCAGAAGCTCTAGCCAATAAGCCACTGTGTTGCCCCAACTTTTACATTATATATATTACTGCCATACACAGTCAAATCCCATTTTTGAGTATGAGAAGTGGTTGTGTATCATCTTGTGTAAGGCTTCCCAAGTGAGTGATAACTTTAGAAAATAAGATCACAATGGGTTTAAAGACGAACATCAGACTGTCTAACTGCCATTTTATGCCTATGACCAGCTTAGGACCACTGACGGTACCATTATGTTAGATAGTATACAATAAAGTATTTTACAGGCTGGCAGCCAAACATTAAGGGTTAAATAATCCAGTGGTTTCAAATAGTTCCCTCATTTGCATTCTCTTGTTTAACACATTGTGGAGGGATTGCATAGGAACAAAAGCTCTTTTTTTTGTACAATTACCATCAGCTCTGTGCATTTTGTAGTGTAGGTAGTATACAGAAGAAGAAAATGGCCACATCTGCCTGTATTGATTGTAACTGAGCTGCAATGTTTACCTAAGCCCAGGAACACCATTATAGATTGAATAGCTCATGCATTTCAACCTGTTCTAACTCCAAACATTACTAATGGCCAGAGCTGTTTAACCGCTTGAAGACCAGGTGTTTGGACCCCCTTCCTGGCCAGGCCATTTTTCAGTATTCAGCGCTGCAGTACTTTGACTGACATTTATTCCGTTATACAACCCTGTACTGAAATTAATTTTATATCATTTTTTGGGGACAGACAGAGCTTTCTGTCAAAACCACTGCGGGTTTTATTTTTTACTATAATTAGGAAAAATTACTGAAAATTTTGAAAAAAAAGTTATTTTTTTACATTATGTTAAGAAACATTTATTATTACCCAGTTTTTTGGTCAAACATAAAAGACGGGGTCACGTCGGGTAAATAGACACCAAACATGTCAAACTTTAAAATTGCACGCACCCGCGAAATCACAGAAAACTACCATACCCAACATTGGCCATAGGTGACGCTTTAAAAGCTTTTACCGCTCATCAGTTTAGTGTTATCAGTGATTGATGGCCCTAGAATGATTGCTCTTACTGTGACGTTCGCGGCGATATGTAACATGTGCGGCGTAATGGGCGCAATCGTCGTTTTTTCATGTATGCGCCCCCGGCGCATCTAGAGAGCTAAATGAAGATAGCTGTAAACATTTCTGTTTGTTTTCACAGGTACTTGTAACCCTGTCCCCATTTATATACAAAGTGAAATAGAAATTGGTTCTGCATATGAGTCATTTAAAATGCTAAGTAAATGAGATACATTGTGAAACCTTGATAATTGGTGTTAGTTGTGGTCCAGGAGTACTTAACCAATATTATTTTTAGTTTTGAGTACAGTGGGGAAGAGTTAAAATATCTGTCAGGTATTTACTGTGGCACTTCTAATCATGGGGGGTGTTTAGTCACTGGGACCAAAAATAATCGATTGCGATATAAAAAATTTCAGCAATTCTAACATTTCCTCACGCTACTAAAAATGTGTTCTTGTCTATCAAAAACAGCAGATCAGAATGTGTGTGGGGCAATACAGAGTTTGGCAAACACCCTTGACAGACCTCTCTTGGGAAGACAGGATATTTTTCGGCCAACAGTATACTGGTTCCCCAAAACAAGTATGACACCAAAAGGCTGGCCTTATACAATGCTTAAGAGATATCCATAATAAATGCCTCTCACACCAGTAAGCTGCACATGCACTATATCAGTTTTACAGACGAGTCACAGAAGAAACCCTGTGTGCATCCTGTTCCTTGAAACGATGGGCAGATGTCTCCCTACCCATTGTTTGCAGGGAGACATTTCCCCATCTATGGCTAGCCTAAGTATCCCCATAGCTGTACCTCCGAAAGACAGATTCTCATCACTTCCTGATCAAATAGGAACTGAGGGGAAATGTCACCATAAGGGACACAGACAGCAATAAAGATTTGACAGAACAGCTAACCCTTCCCTGTTCTGTCCAAAACAAAATAGTTTGCCTTGATTTGGGCTTTAACTGCCTTCTGTCTCTGCATTGATTTACGATATCCATGTATGTGAGATGATTGTCAACTGACATAGCCTATTAACAGTCCCTATGTCTATGGGCATCAACATACTCCCAGCCAACTGATCTCAGGGGAAATAGCCATTTTTTGCCAGTCATTATGATTTTCCAGGAGAGAAACATGGTGGCAGTAATGGCTTACAGCTGCCCCCCTAAAATGAATTAGGGCTAACTAAAGCGTTATGTTCAATTCACATTTTATCTGAAGGAAGAATAGCTCTTATGGATGTTTTACTAACTCTACAGTAGGTGCCAAGTGCATCCTTTATGGAAGCCACCAAGTCTGGTGCTTCCCATTGCCGTTCACCATTCAAATAAGTTATATACACTCATAAAAGCCTACCCTAAGTTTATTCTGCACGTGTATAAAGTGCAATAGACCCTAACTGGCCAGGTGGATAGCTGTGCAGATGCAAGCCCCTCTTTGAGCTACTGATTTCAATCTATGTTGATGTCTTGCTATTGTAATAGTCTTCCATCACCATTTGATATGCATTTAGTGTTCCACTGAACCTTTGTTAGGCAAGAGTCAGTATTCCACCCATCCTAAGACACATTGTTGAAGTCCTCTTATATAAACTCCTTCCTCCATACTCACTATTTTGTTATGCAGAGTGCAGCCCTTGTGTAACCCATTCATTGTGGGCAATAGCACTGACAGCACAGTGCCTGTAGCACAGGTGTTAGCCCCCATGAACATGCTAAATTTACTTAACCTACTAAAATGGGGTCATTTTACATAGTTGCTGTGTACAAGTACTAACTAATACAACCTAAGCAATAGATTGTGATGGGAATGTCTCTAAAATATCTCAACTGAATGTGTCTACACTACATTAAAGTGATGACCACTTTACAACATTGTTAGCTATATCTTGTGTTTTTAGCTTTATCCATATGTGTATATGTTAACACAGTACAAACTGTACTACATATACTATAAAAGAACACAGTATATAATGTTAGAATTTTCAATTGCGTATATAACAAAATCTGTATTAATCAGTATATGTAAACATATTCATATACTAAGCAATATATCTTTTTAAGAATTTAAGTGCTGCTTGTGAAATTGTGGAAGTGTTTGGATAAGAAACAAGTGATAATGATTGTTATGAACTGCAGACCAAGTTAGGCTTTCTATATATGGCTCAATCCTATCCCAAATAAGGCACCCTATACAATGCTTTAGTTTGTTGGCAAAATGTTTGCTTATGCTATTGGAAGCAATTGTTTTTACCAACAGGTAGTTTCCAGTTTTCCAACCCAGCTGATCTTTCTCCTTTTCTTTGAGGAGAAGAGAGAAAAAGGTGAACCATCAGTCTGTTGAATAAGTTGCACTAGTACAGCGGTGGGGCTTGGGTGATGGACAGGTGTCTTCAAAAAGACATCTGCCCCATATATAGCCAGTCTCTGTACTGGTTGCAGAACTAGAAAGTTTTTACTCATTAAAAACTTTAAACTGAAAATTATAACCTCTAGAAGTAAATAATATTGTACATAAAAATTACAAAAAGTAACTTTTTCTTCTTAGGCATCACTTTGGAAACAAGTGGTTGTCAAACTTCCCTTAGGTATCTGACATGCATCCATGTTAATATTTTGAAACAGTTTTTTTTTAGTTTTAAAAGTGCAAATCTGTAAATTGTGTTCACTTATATCTTAATAATTTAGTATAGCAGTTCCAGAGACTTTCAAGAGAGTTTCATTAGTTTACATCGTAGCTCTGATTTTCTTTTTTCATTTACAGGGTTATTCACAAAAGGGTGAAGAGTTTGGAGAAGGCAGGAGAAGTGAACAATCTAGGACAACATATCTGATTTGGAAGAATTTTCCAATTCAGCTCACTTTCCAGTTCCGCTATGTTGTCCTAGATTGTTCACTTCTACTGCCTTCTCCAAGTTCTTCACTCTTTTGTGAATAACCCCCTTAGTCTGAGTAAGAGTTAAGCACAAGTTGGCTTATAATAGCACATCTATTTTGACTACTTCCACTTGAATTTTACCCACCAATAATTCTCTAAACTGTTTCCAGATGCAAAAAAACTATTTTAAACACCATGATACTACTGAAAGATTAGCAAAAATGGACTTGAGTCATGTTTGCTTTGCATTTGCTTGAGTCATGCTGAGGTGTTATAAGAAATGAGGACACTTGCAACTTCCATTTTCAAAAATGATAATTTTAGTATTGTAGTAAACATTTAACTTGTATATTAAATCACAGTAATAACAATTCTTGCAATACCCAGATTTTCAACAATACTACACTCTCAAATTATAATCTAATAGATCAAGTGTATAGCTGTCTATAGACAGTGCTTTGCCAGATTTATGGACACTTCCTTGGTCACATAAAAGTAGAAAGTTTGCTCCATCTCAGTGTAAAAAAATCCATCTCAACAGATCATTGTTTGCTGATGATGCTGATCTATTGCAATGATTGCTAGATTTTTGCAGATAAACGATCTGTGGATCACACGCTCCTTTAAACCACTATATTCTGTCTATGTATAACTTGCACATGTGATTTTCACTCCTGGACACTAAATAATCTTATAGAGACAAAACGGGTTAAAAACTTAAAATTGCTAAAAATCTTATATATGATAAATAGTTGAATGATTATTTTCTTACTTCATTCAAGTCTATGCGGGAGAGGAGATTATTATCTAATACGGATGAGACTAAGTCACAGAACTGTGTAATCATAACAGGTTGAGCACTCAACTGCATGGCTACAAATCACTTGTGTAGCTGTTCTTATTAAAAGAAAAAAGTAATGTGATGCAAACAAAACAGTCAGTTACAAGAGATTTTAGGCACACCTGTAAGGTTAAAGATTACCAGTGCAAACTTATTGTAATCCTCCTTCAATTTCCATATGTATATACCAATTTCCAATCAATAATTCTATAGTATAACCACATTAGGTAACACATACTCAGAATATTGAGAAATACACAACTCCTCAATGGTTCCTATTTTTTGGTTGAATAACACAAAATAAACTCAGGATCTACAACAAAACAATACTTTCTATTTTATACAAGTCAAAATGCTAAAATAATACTAAATAGGTAATATATACAACAATATTAATATTGTTTGCCGTTTTCTTAAAAAAACAAATCTTACCTGGTCTCTGTCCATTTGCAAGAAACAAAGTCATAAGGATGATCAATAGAATGTAAAATAATTTCTGAAAATCCATTTTTTTTCTTCTGAAAAAGGAAATCCCAGTGAGATTTGGACCTGATGTACCAATTCCTTCAAAGCTGCTTACAACTAACTCAACTACTCAGAGTGGAGTGTTTGCTGCATATCCCTGTAAGGTTAATGATCACAGGAGACAAGGTATAGTGCCTCCCACTTTGTGCCTTTCCCTCTCACCCAGAGCGTGTCTCCTTTCTGCTTTCTCTATCCTTCCCTAGTTTCCCTAGATAAATACCAGTTCAAGAAACAAAGTTAACAGTAGCTGTTTGCCAGTGGATGTGGAATAAGAAACCAAAAAGGGCTCTTCCCTTTAAATACTTGTACAAGGAGACCTATGCAAACTAAGTCATGATGCTAGCACATTTGCAACTGTTTAACTTTGCATCTCCTATATTGAACTTATATACAGCAAAGCAATGGAAAGGACAGGAAGTCCCTCTTTTGTCACTATTTTAAATGAATCCTGAAGCACATATTTAAAGCCCTGATATGCTTTGTAAAGGGACTTGCTGCTCCGTTGGTTTATCTTTTACTGAACTAGCTGCAAAGTGGCATTCATTAAAAGCCTATCTGTGAGCAGTTAAACATAATCCCTGAGCATTGTGAGCCTGAATGGGTCCAGCCTAGCCTGAGATGAATAGCAGATTCACTGACCTATTGACAGTGTCTGCGTTTTTATCTAAAATTTTACCTCCCAACTTTAAAAAAAAATTATCTTCAGGAAGGAAATCATAATTTGTCAATATATGTGACTAAGGGATATTAAACATTCACTAAGCTATATACTGCTTCATTTGTAATTTGCTTGACTTGAATGACAAGTGCTGTGCTCACCATAATACCTTTTGTCCTGCAATGGATCCTCAATTTGTCTATAAGTGCTTGTTCACACCATGTCCCTTGCAACTGCATTTTTTGCCGTAGTGTGCAGAAAAATGCAGCTCAACCGACATGGTGTAAACAAGCCCTAATTTGTGTACCCCTCATAACATCCATGTCATGATTCAAAACATTACTTATTCTTATTTTCTTATTATTTTAATTGTAAGTTTGTTAGGAGAGAAAAGGATTGGGGCATGGTAGTGTTGGGCTGTTAATGGGACTGGTTGAAAACTCTTTGGCCCATTTCTTATGATCCTTACCAAATAATCAGAAAAAAAGTGTTTATAACTTAATGCGATCTCAAACAAGATGCCCTATCCAGTGGATGTACTTGTTAGTTGAGAAAGTGATGCAAGCTTTTAAAGCTCATTAGGGCTTATGAACATCAATGCCTTTAATGGGCACCTGTGCTTTGCCCATGCCCTTCTCAGTTGCATACTCACATTAATTGTATTAAATTTGTAATGCACTCTGGGCTCTGGGAGAGAACAGAGTAATATCTGTGATAGCTCCAAGTAGTTACTTGGAGCTTACACAGGGGGACGACTCTTCCCCACCCCATCTGACTGTGCTGAGTGCTCGAGCAGCAAATCACAAAGCACCAGTGCTGTCATATGGGAGGAAGGGGAGGTAGTCACATGCTCCCCCATGCCTGGAAGTACTGGGTATTTTTTTTCCTCTTGGCTGAGAGTAGGGGATAGAGATTTTTCGGTAAAATAAACTTTGTATGTCTTTTCTGCCATAAAACTGCTTTGCTTTTTTGCTATCAATTTATGTTTTTGTTTGCACTGCCTGTGGAACTTGCACAGTATAGTGCATACTCCCAGACCATGAGTGCTATAAATGGAGAAGGTTGCTCGGATGGTGTAAATCCTTGGTTCTCTACTGGTGGTTCATGACCCAAAAGTGGGTCGCGACACTGTGTTCATTGGGTCACTCTGTGCCTTCCACTTTTTCAGGTAAGGGGCCCCTCAGCTTCTTCCTAGCACAACACTGTCAGTTCGCCCACCAAGCAGCCATTCAAAATATGCTGCCCAGCGCTAAGTGTCAGCTTGAGGTGGGGTGGGATGGGGCTATGGCCGTGAGGGAACTCCATCCATTTGTGCATTGCTTACAGCTCCCTCGCATGTCCTGCAGAGGTGCCTGGAACAGAGTGACGTCACAATCTGGTCTTCCGGCATCTCTACAGGGCATGCAAGGGAGCTGTACAAGCAATGCACATATGGACAGAGCTCCATCACAGCACAGCAGCCCACAATGGACCCCCGTCTGAGGATCCATTCCAGTTCTCGTAAATTAGGGAGACTCGGTGGATCTTTAAAAAAAATAAAAAAAAAAAAAAATTTGGAGTGTGTATGTGTGTGTGAGAATGTGTGTGAGATTTTGTCTGTGGTTGTGCATGTCTGTCAGTGTGTTTGAGGGCCCGTTCACACTAGTACAGTGCGTTAATCACAAAGTCCCATGCGATTAATGCACTGTACCATGCAAATGCACCTACTGTGCATTCTGGTGTGGGAGGTGTGCTGCATTGCCATTCATTTGAATGGTACCCCAAATGCACCTCCCACTCACAGTGCGACTTGGGTCATGACCTAATGACCAAGGACAAATGTGGGTCCTGAGTTTACACAGGTTGAGAACCACTGGTGTAAATCATGCATAACTGCAACAGAGTTACATAATCACTGGCTTCCTAATGGACAAAAAGAGCAGACAATTCAGTGATAGAGAAGATGGCAGCGCTACTAATGGAGCATTAAAAGAGTGTATGGAGCTGTCAGCGCTAGAGGGGAGCAAACTCAGAGGTCAGTCTGTCATAATGTGCAAGTATGCTGTGTATACTTGTATATAATGCCAAGAACTCCTGCCCCTATCCTTCCCACCCCTACAGTTCCCCTTCAAGTGTTTCTTTTGTTTTGCCATGAATAGGGAAAATACAAGTTCATTTTGAAGCTGGCCACAAACTTTAAAATCTGATGGTACAACATCCTTTGGATTTACCAACAAAGTTGTAGAATAAATTAGTAGATATAAATTGAATATACAGTTTAGTCAGGCTCACATTGTTGATAAATATATAGGAGATTGTGCACAGATTGTACAGTCACTACTGTGAGAACTGTTGCTGTGTCCACTTTGCTGAATGGTCTCTAGCCTGTCATACAGCTAAGGACCACCATAGTTAATAAGGAAGTTTTCCTATGCTTTCTGTGCTATAACATCTTTGATATAGGCAGGTGTCATTAGAGGACCATGTGTGGGTGCTCCCAGTGCAAATACACCATAACAGAGTCAATACTCAATCCCACAGTGATGTAGTCTGAGCTTGTTGGAGCCAAGGTACTCTTGTGCAATAACATAATGTCACACCCATCCCAACATTATATGTGCGGAATAACAGGGGTTTTTGTGTAGTAATATGCAAACAAGGATTGCCATGTACAAACTTTTGTCAAAAGTGTAATATATTCATTTATACCATATTTCATGCACTTAAGTAAATACTTTGTACATTTTATGAGGGATTAAAACTGCACAGAGATTCATTTCTACTGTATATTCTGTAGCTGAATGCACATCATCCACAGCTGAAAAACTAGTAAGTACTAGTAAAAGTACTGTATGACATCCCAGGAGGCATGGCGGTCATTCCTTGCCTGGTTACAAACATGTCAAAGGATGCACATGTGCAGGAGTGCATGAGCCGATCAAACATTTCTTCCAAAGCAAAGTACCTGTGTGAAAAGCATTAGGTGGTGGCAGCTAGTCCCGGATTCTCTGACTCCACTCAGTAAAACTAAACAGTAATTAATTTACCAATTGCTGCTTATTTCTGAGGCTTACCAGATGTGTTTGCAACACTTTACCATTAAGCTAGTCATGCATGGTAATAGAAATCTAGGAAAGGAAAGTCATTTTGGGTTTTCTGTGCATGATGGATTTATGGCTACATGGCAATAATCTTTATAGATATTGAAATTATTGAAACTCTTTATTGTATTGAAATCTATAGATCTCTAATAAAGTCATGAGTATCTGCACGGTGCAGTAACATAATTAGATTTTGGTTTATTGAAGTCTTATTAGTGAAAGATTTCGAATTGGTTGTCACATGTTCCTGAACTTTGTATATTGCCCTGTCCCTTATTAAATAAAGGTAATATACTATGGATACTGCCCTCTACTCTAGACTTAAGGGAGTACAGACACTGCACTGAGATAGCAGTAAAGTATTCCCAACTTTCCTCCTTCTTCCAAACATTTACGTCTACAGCCTCCATTTTCAATTCAGCATTGAACATCACCTGAAGGGACATGTCTTGTTTTACCTAGCAATCTCTTTTACAACTGCTTCTTCAGAGAAATACTGCTCTAGGCATTATGACTGACTGATGGCCTGTTAACACATGTCTGTTTTACAATGTATGCATTTAACTGCATTAACATGCATTTCAAGTAGAAAATCCTAAGCATGCAAATGTTATTAAAGGCATAGTCCAGCCTTTGCAAAAAAAGAAATAAGATGATATATATATATATATATATACTGTACATATATACATCTTTATATTATACAATATTAAAGGAAAATGTGCATTTGTTATTTTTTTGCATTTGGTTCTGCAGAGCATTGCAACCACTACAGGACTTTAGTCTCTGTATTCACGCATCCTATCAAAGGGTCTGTGAATGGATAACATGGCTGTGCATGGTTCCGCACAACATTTTAATTGTGATAGAAGAGTGGGGACAGAAGAACCCTGCATTTCAGGTAAGTGGGGGAGGGTAGGATAGGGGTGGGGGTTGTGGACGTGACCATGTTTCATGTTACACCCATATAATTTTCAAAATTATATGGGTGTAACATTGTCTGTAAAGTAAACGTATCCTTTAAATCCAGTGTATACAAGTTTAAATAACATAGCCGCACTTACATTAAATCTGGAGTGCTAATGCATGTTATCTATCTACACTTCATTGCTGTGGTAGCTTCTATCACTAGTGGGGTTTCTATGGAGTCACAGCTGTAGCTAAGCACTACACAACTACATGCAACTGCTCTGTGTGCCAGTTTCCACAGTTGGTACAGAGAGGCTGGGGATAAGGAAGTCATGTGATCTGCCCACCTGCTAATGATTGGCAGTGCAGCCTGTGATTGACTACCAGATACAGCATATACATGGT